GATTAACATTGTAAAAACATTTGACAAAGGTCAACTTGCCTTCGTGATAAAAGTCCAGCAATGTTAAGAGGTATGCTGCTTCTATTCTTAATATCTATTCCATAGGTCACTGTACCTGGGTTTGCATCAGCACTGTGCTATGTTTGTTACTATAGCTCTTTGGTATATCTTGGAGTCAGGAGTGGCGATGCCTCCAGCGCCAGCAGCATTTAATTGGTCAGGACTGTTTTGTCTGCCCAGGACCTTTCATGCATCCACATAAATTTTAAAATTTTTTTTTCTGTGAGGGAATTATATTGCAATTTTGATGGAGATTGCATTGAATCAATAAATTACTTTTTCTTTGAGAGACTTATGTTGGAATTTTGAAGGAGATTACATTGAACCCATAGATTATCTTCAGTAGTTTGGCTGTTTTCACAATGGTAGTGCATGGGAGAGCTCTTCATCTTCTGGTATCTGTTTCAGTGTTTGTTTTCAGTGTTATATAGTTTTCATTGTATAGGTCTTTTACATTGAGTTACTATGAATGGGATTGCTTCCATAATTGCCTTCTCAGTCTGGTTGTCTTGTGTATATTGTTGATTTTAAGCCACTTTGCTGAAGGTCTTTGCCAGCTGTAGGAGTTTCCTGGTGACATTTTTGGGGTCTCCACTGAATAGAATCGTGTCATCTGCAAACAGGGAAACTCTGACTTCTTCCTTTCCTATTTGCATGCCTCTTATTTCCTCTGTTGTTTTACTGATCTATATTGAGTAGGAATAGAGTAAGTGGATGTCTTGACTTATTTCTGATCTTGGTAGGGTTGCTTCCAGTTTTCTCTGCTTGATAAGCTACAGAATTCCCATATTATAAGGACACTGAGTGTTTTTGTTTGTTCCTGTCTTAGTACAGACTGGTGGCTGTGGTTGTCAAGCATGGAGATTTTTGCTCTTTTTCTTGGTTTTGGCCCTCCTGGGGTGGGTCATATGACTTATGTAGCACAAAGATGACCACATCTTGCCTTTGTTAATCTGTTAATGTTCTCAACTGTACAAATGGATTTTCTTGTCCTGACGACCACTTGAATTCTGGGGAAAAGGTGGAGCCTGCCCATCATGTGGTGCCTGTGTTTTAGGACTCTGTGAGCCCCAGTGTGTGCCTATAGTTGTTAAGAGTTTTACGTCTGGTCACAAAAAACTGGCCAAAAGTGCCCTCTCCTGGTCAAGTTTTTATGCAAGGATTGTCCAGTACCATTCATCAAATAAGCCAGGAAGGTTTCCATACTTTCCCCCACTCTGAAAATTAAAGAAATGGTTGAATTAAGATGTGAGCCCAACAGACCCAGGGAAGGCCCCCAGGAGCTCTGGGGGGGGGAGGACAGAAAGGAAAGAAGGAGGGAGGGAGAGAAAAAAGGGAGGGAGGGAAGAAGGAAAGGGGAGAGGGAGGAAGGAAGAGAGGAAGAGAGGGAGGGAGAGAGGGACACTCATAGTGTAGCTTTACACCCACAGGCCATAAACAGTATCTAAGTATTGCTGAGACAGGCAGTGAGGCCCCAAGGTCAGAGGAAGGTCAGGGAGAAAAGGCCTGCACAGTGCCACAGGAAGATAAAGGCAGAAGCAGCACCCTGGAGGCAGGAGATGGGTGTGTCAGTCTAAGGACCAAGGGCTTTGAAAAGGAAGCATATGTCCACATCTGCATATTTGAAATGTTACTCCTTTTAGTGAGTATGGCATAGGTTGACCTTTGAGAGATGGGGAGACCACAGTTAGGAGGTGGCCAGGGTAGGGTAAAGGATCCAGGGCACGTGACTATCTCAAAGACTCTGAGGCCTCTGACTTTATACCTTCCTCATGGGGGTACCCACCACTGAGGGGAGGAGCCTGGAGGCAGACCAGCTGTGGGAAATAGAGGAGGGAATAGCAAAAACTGGTCAGACTCTGAGCTGAACATGTGGGGAGTCAGTACAGAAGACAATGCAAGGTGCAAGGCCAGAGCGGTGGTTGGGGCTGCGGATGTCCTTGGAAATTATAATAGCTGAGGGTGAGAGAGACTTAGATTTGAAGCTAGAAGTGAGGCAAGCCAGGGGCTGGCAGAGAACCTTAATAGAAACAACAACTGCAGCCTGGATGCCCAAGGCTGGACCTTTGGGGGCATTGATGGCTTGCCAGTGGCCAGGAAGAACACCAGGACTGCATGCTGATGAGGCATCGGCATAGTTCAACTCTTTTGTGAGGTTACAAAAAGTTGGAACTGGAAATACCGTTAGTTTCATCAGCATGGAGGTCAGACCACTACCCACACCTGCCCACACAGCCTTCTTTGGTTTTGTGTTTTGTTGTTTCGTTTTGAGACAGATAGGATCCCTCTGTTGTCTCAGCTGGACTTTAACTCCTGAACTCAAACAACCCACCACCCATCCAGCTCAGCTTCCTTTGTGCTTGGATTTATTCTGATAGCCTGCATCTTATTGGAAGGACCTCATCCTTCCAGTAGCTCTGGCCCAGTGCCTCCCAGTTTCCTGTCATTTATCTTCTCCTTAGACCCAGCACCCAACCCTACAGCATATCTCCCGGGCCACTGCGGAGTGGCTGCAGCCACTGCTATATGTTCCAGAGGCTGTCATTCCACTGACTTGAATCCCATCTTGGGTTCTGGCTAGTCCAGTCCAGGAACTACCACAGCCTTTTAGACTGTAAACCAGAATGAACAAACCGTCAGTCCTGGGTGCTTAGGACACAATTATACTCTCCCACTGCCCCCTCCAGCATTCTTTCCAGCTATTTGCTCTTCCAGCTCTTTCTGGAATGTGTCCGGCATACCCTCAAGTCAAGGAGTGATCCTACACCCTCTGCCCAGATCTTTGAAGGTCTTCTGAGACTTCCCTCTATAAACTTAAGCACCTCCACCCCATCCCTGCTCCTTCCTTCCCTACCCATGTCCCACCAGCTTAGGGGTGGCAAGTCTGGTTTCCTCTGGTGTTGGCTGGTTTTTATGTCATCTTGACACAAACTAGAGTTATCTGAAAGGAGGGAACCTCAATTGAGAAAATGCCTCCATAAGATCTGACTGTAAGGCATTTTCTGAATTAGTGATTGATGGGGGAGGGCCCAGCCCATTGTGGGTGGGGCCATCCCTGGGCTGCTGGTCCTGGCTTCTATAAGAAAGCAGGTTGTGCTAACCATGAGGAACAAGTCAAGACTGTGGCCTCTGTGTCAGCTCCTGCCTCCAGGGTCCTGCCCTATTTGAGTTCCTGTCTTGACTTCTTTTGATAATGAACAAACAGCAAATGTGGCAATGTAAATCAAAGAATCCCTTTCCTTCCCAACTTGATTTTTGGTCATGGTGTTTAATTGCAGCAATGGAAACCCTAATTGAGACACCCCCTTACCAGGAAGGATCAGGAGAACCAGAACTGTCACCTGATTGTCACCACTGTGTCCCAAGCACCTACTGAAATGGCTGAGGTAGAAGCTCAAACTGCATTGACTGAATGACTGAAGGGAGTGGAGAGTGGAATGGGTTGGGGAGTGCACAGTCAGCATTGCCTAGTGGAGAAGTGCTGGGGCGACTTCCAAGACAGACTCCCAAAGGCCATGGCCCTACCTTCAGAACCTCCACACATACTTCTGCCCACTGAACCTCCATAGCCAAACAGTCCTCCTGGGACAAGAAGCCACACCCAAGGAGGAGAGAACTGGTCCTAGCAGGGTAGCCTTTACTTACCTTCAGCCTTATCTATGTTGTGTGCTGATCTGTTCCTCCTCCTCCTCCTCTTTTTCTTCTTGCCTATGCCAGTGGGCCTCCTTCTCTATAATCTCTGTGTCTTGTTTTTCTCCTCTGCACATTAGCTGACACATACATCCAATAAAGCCATCTTGAGAGGGTTCCCCAAAAGGATGACACATAGGTGGGCTAGAATAAACCTGGGGGGGGGACTGCTGGATCTGCTTCCTGCCCTATTCCACATAGCAGCAGAGAAGATCTGTTTCCTGTCCTATCCTATCTTTCAGAGGGGAAGGCCACACCCCTGAAATATAATGGCCCATGTAGAACCTGTGGAATGGACTTGAGATTGGACACAGGAAACACACAAGGAACACTGCTTTGTTACCCAGTTAACCAGAAAAGTGCACCTTGATGGCTTCTAGGAGGGAGTTTCCACTTACCCTGTCTGGGCCTAGACACTCACCCCGGGAACCTGGCCACAGTCTGTGCTAGTTAGACTTCTGTTAACTTAACACATGTGTTATTTGGGAAGAGGAACTTCAATTGAGAAAGGGCCTCTATCAGATTTCCTGTAGACAAGTCTGTAGGGCATTTCCTTGGTTAATGATTGATGTGGGAAATCCCCGTGCACAGTAGGGTTTGTGGTGCCACACTTGGACAGGTGATCCTGGGGGTCTAGAAGAAAGTAGAATGAGCAAGCCATGAGCAAAGAAGCATCTCTCCATGGCTTCTACTTGAGTCCCTGCTTCCAGGTTCCTGCCTTGAGTACCTGCTCTGACATCTCTCAGTGATGGAGTGCGACCTGAGAGTTGGAAACTGATATAAACTTGCTTTGTTCATGTGTTCTCCCCTGCAATGGAAACTAACTAAGACATAGTCCAACAAAGGGCCTTGGGCGCCAGTGCCAAAGGTTCTCACAGCTCACCGCTCCGTGCCTCACATCCTCATCATGTGCCCCCACCGCCCTACTGCAGCCACCACTTTCTCAAAGTAGATTTCACTTCCAATTCCCATTTGCTAAATCTCTCCTAAAAACCACGAGGAGGGGGCAGGGGGATTAAAGCTGATTACAGATGTACAGAAGCCATCTAGTCTCTGAGCACTGGATGGGAGTCCAGTAGGAGGGTGGGAATTAGCTCAGCTCCTCCTGGGCTGGCTGACCTAGCCACCAATCTCACCCCACACTCTGAGCCCCAGTGCCCAGCCTGGTAAAAAGCTGTGTGTCTCTTGCCTCAACCCACTAGAGACTTCCATGCAGTGGACTGGGCCTCACAGGGAATGCAGAAGCACCCATGGGGTCCCTGAGGAAAATGAGCAGCTCCTTCAAGCGTGGCTCACTCAAGAGTTCCACATCGGGGTCCCAGAAGGTGAGTGAATTATGTGAGGCCCAAGGACAGATGAACAGCAGGGGAGAGGGACAAAGGTTCTGTTTGAGTGTTGCTCCAATAGACTGTTGCCTTCCAGGTGTGTGTGTGTGTGTATGTGTGTGTGTGTGTGTGTGTGTGTGTGTATGGTGTGTGTGTGTTGTGTGTATTGTATGTGTTTTTTGTGTGGGTTGAGTGTGTTGTGTGTGTATGTGTTAAATGTGTATGTGTTGTGTGTTTTGTGTGTAGGATGTGTGTGTTCTATGTATTGTATGTGTTTTGTGTGTATGTTGAGTGTGTTGTGTATATATGTGTTGTATGTGTGTATTGTATGTAGGATATGAGTTTTGTGTGTATGTAGGATGTGTGTGTTGTGTTTGTGTTGTGTGTATATATACTCTCTACTGCATCAAGCTCCCTTCTTAGGCTATAACCCTGCATTTCCTATCTTTCTGTCCCATGTCTATTGTTTCCATTCTCTCACTCAGAATGTTTCCCAGATACCTCTGGGCAGTGTCCCCATGGCTGTAACCCATGATATCCTTTGTCTACACCGCAGGGCACCATGTAAGGGCTTTCACTTGTGCCCTGCTTTATTTCTATTCACAGATTCATAGCATTGCTGAGGAGACTTGGAGTATATGATGCCTGCAGTATGGGCCTCACCCTCAGGGTGTGGAGGATACCAGAGGAAGCTGGACAGTGATGCTTCTAAAAGAGGGGAGGGTGGCCCTGAGTGAGTCCTGAACTGGGCTTGAGTTTCTGTGACCACAGAGCAGGCTGTGTGGAAGTCCCCTTTGGTAAAAGCCACCTACTGTGTCAATTAGGCTCACTTGTCTTCTGTCGAAGGTGACTGAACACTAGCCCTGGAGTGGGTGTCCCTAGCCATCCTTGGGCTGCAAGAAGGGGGTCCTTTGGATCCAGGTTACCATGGCCCATACAGCTGGGTATTGGGAACTGACTGAGAGTGAGTGGAGATTAAGAAAACCAGACACAAGTAACTGTAGAGCTGGAATCCAGTGGGCCATGCCCTCAGATGGAGACCCACCAACAGCCTGGATACTCTGTGTTTGGTCAGTTAATCTGTGTTTATTACGCAGTATGGACAAGGAGGCTGATCATCTAATCTGTGTTTATTATATACAGTATAGACAAGGCTGGTCAGCTAATCTGTGTTTATTATATACAGTATGGAAAAGGCTTGGCAGCTAACCTCAGTAGGTGGTCTCTGCAGATGAGCAGCCTCAGGGGATGTGTCCATGCAGTGGTCTGGGACTAGAAAGCTCTGTATTGTTCACACTACTGTTTTTTAGCCAAAGGTCACCTATTCATTAACATCCATACTTAGACCAGGTAAAAGCCATGAATCAGAGACATTGGTGTCCTTGACATGACCATACTCAATCAGGCATATACTCTTCCCACATGGCCTGGATTGGTCATCTTTACTCAGCTGACCTCAAGTAGAGCCCAAGCCAGGAGGTAGAGGCTCCTGAATACTTGTTGAGTCCATGGCTGGTGGGGTGGTGTTGATCCTCTGTTCCTTCTAAGACACTTCCCCTATAGGGCACCCTCTAGGGACAGAAGCCAGGGCAACAGTGTGAGCCTGGTGAGTGCCCTGGGGAAGGTGTTTGGCTCTAGCAGAACCCTGGGTCATCATTTAGGAGCTGGCCAGGTTGTGGCCCTCTGTTCACATAAACAGCTGAGAATGAATCCAGCCAGGTATCTCCCAGTGTCTGATGTCCCAGGAACCTGAAAACACAAACAGAAAATAGGAGACTATGTTTTTTTTAAAAAATAGTTTAGGCTTTTCCTAGTTTCAAAAAGTAGAGAAGATCCACCCCCAGGTGCTACTGGTGGGTGGAGTATATCTCTCTGTCCCCCCAGGCCTGTGAGAGTCAATATTCTTTCTCCAGAGCCTGCCTGCTCAGCTGCCATGTCTTATGAATTAACATTCACAAATCTACCACCACACTTGGCAGGAACACTACATCCACATGCCACTAGTTGTGCGGCTGCACACACATGGTGCTGCAAGGCCCTCCTCCCCTGAACACAGTTGCTCATTCTAACCTATAAGTGCTGAAAGGAAGCAGGCTGTGCTGTTCTGGAACTCTGACCACCCTCTGCCTGGTGCTTAGCTTAGTGGTGTAGCAGAGTCTGGGTGTCTGCTTATGGGGGCTCAGCACAGAAGAGAAGCACTTTGAGCATGGTCAACCCTAAAAACTAGCACCTTCCTCCTCTTTCCTCCCCCCATTTCCCTTCCCCTTCTCCCCTCCTGTCCTCCCTTTCCCTCTCCCCCCACGATTTTCCAGGATTGCACACTTCCTTAATTTTACTTTACATTTTAGAAAAGAATGCTCTCATACTGGGTTGTCTTGCCCAGCCTTAATACACGGGGAGGTGTACTCTTACTGCAATTGATATGCCATGTTTTGTTGATACCCATGGGAGACCTGCCCTTTCCTGGATAGTGACAGAAGAGGCTGAGATTGAGAGAGTGGGAGGGGAGAGTGGGGAGAGGGAATGGGGGTAGGATGTGTGGGGGAGAGGCTGAGGCCAGGATGTAAAATAAATAGACGTATTAAAAAAAAAAAAAAAGAAAGAAAAGGACACCCCTTCCAAGGAGACCTCATCCCATGACAATTTATGGTGACCTTTTGCATGGGCTGGCAGTGTGGTCCAGTATCAGAGCATGTGAATTGCATGTAAGAAGCCCTGGGTTCCTGTATTCCTCCCAACCCCAAAATCTGAGCTCTCCAGTCCCTCCCTGCCAGAACCTGACCTGGTTAAATGTTCAGTGCTCGGTTTGCCCCTGGTCTTCTTATGACAATTCTCAGGCCAAGAATGAGAGCACCGAAGGGGAAATGAACGATGGTTTTTAGGATTGTTGTTTTGGTTTCACAGTGTAGGAGTCTTACACTGTAGTCCAGGCTGGTCTCGAACTCAAAGCAACCCTCCTGCCTCAGTCTCCCCAGTGCTTGGAATACAGGGGTAAGCCTCAATGCCCACCAGTATGTAGGACTTTAAGAAAGTTAATCTGTAAAGGGGCACTGAGAAACAAGTTCCATGTGTGTAAAAGTATGTGTTTTCATAAGCCTCCTTTTGGTCCTTGGGAGCTTGGTGCTCTTCTGAGGGTGGTTATGCCTGGCCCCACTGTTGTAAAAGGCACTTTGACCTTTGACCTGGCTGGTCAGCTCTTCCTGCTAGGCAGCATTTCCCTTGGCCTCAACAACCACGACCCCCCCCCCCCAAGCCTGTGGACCTGAATCAGTGAACAAAGGATGGCTGCCTCTGGTCCAGGAGGCCCAGCTTTCCTTAGTCAACCTTCTGTAGCAAAAGTCTCCAGGTGGCCAAGTGGGCCATGGAAGCAGTGCTTACATTCTACTCAGCTAAACAGTGTAGATGATGTTCAGAGTTGAAGATCAAGGTCTTGAACAAATTAAATGGTAGCACAACCCAGCAACTTTACCTTAGATTCCCTTAGAAAATTCCAGCACAGGTACTCAAGGAAATTCACAAAATGCTCACACCCACATTGCAAGCTGTAGCAAACCAGGACCTAGGTGCTGAGGCTTCTGCTGCTCTCAATGGACTGCTATACAGCACTTAAAATGAACAAGCCACATCACTTGTATCAACACAGACAAACCCCACAACAACGGATGCCACTGAAACCATAAGCCTCTCATAGAAACTCCAAAACACACAAAGAGATTCTAAACACAGTGTGACGTCTCTTCAGGAAAGAGGTGGTTAGCTCTGTCTATAATTTTCTTTTGTGTGCTACATATAAATTCCTTTTTTTGGCCTCCTTCCTTTTTTTTTTTTTTTTTTTTTTTCCTTTTCTTTTTTTAATGGGGCTCAGCTGTTAGTTAACCTTTTTGTATGACTTTAAAATCAAAGTGTTGACTTCACAATTGAGAGACGTTTTCATGCTTCTCAGATTAGCCAGGTGTAGCCAGGAAAGCTCTCAGGCACACAGCCTGCCACCACCACAGAGAAACTACTCCACAACACTGGTTTAGCCATCCTTCACTTTCTCAGTCCAGAAGCTGCACACAGGGGACTGGCCAACTTACCCTGCCCTCTGCACCCCACCACCCTCTATGCCCCGCCACCCTTTGCACCCCAAAGCCCTCTGTACCCCACCACCATTTGTATTCCATTTGTAGCATCTTCAGTAGCAAACCCACTTCGGCTCAAGGGAACAAGAGCCATTACTCATCTTAGTAACCAAGCAGGGGACCTAGAGCCTTGAGGTCACCTCGATTCTCAGGGTGCATGGCTGGAATCTGGGGGACCCCAGTAGGTTTTCATGTTAATCTGAAGTTTTGTCCTATGCAGGGTATCGCAGGCAGTGGAAGCATCCAACACAGCAGATCCAGGTGGGGACAGGGTCCTTCGTGCCCTGGCAAGAGGATGAGAAGGTGTGACAGTTGGGAGCATCACGAGGCAGGCCAGGGCTGAGGGATGTCCCCGGCCTGGCTTCTAATGTTTATTGAACTTCCCATGAGAGCCTGGAGACCTCCAAAGGGTGTCTCTACTGGGTACATATCACATGAGGGACTGTGTGACACTGGCTAAGCCACTCCCCTACAGGCTGCAGGAGCACATAGGAAAAGAGCCTTGGTGGTAGCCCTGTGCTTCTGGAGGGTCTAAGGCCTAAGAAAAAGATGCAGGTGACTTGGGACCAATTGAGGTATTCATTGTTCAGACCTCATAGAAACCCCATCCCAGCCTAAGTCTAGTCATCCCGGGAAGACTATTCTAGCCCAAACCAACACAATCAGTACACTGTGAGAGCCCTACAGGGCACATCAGAACACTGAAGGCTCTGCTAAGCCTGGAAAACTGAAGCCTGCATTCAGCAGAGACCCAGAAAGAAATGTTTTCCTTGTGAGGGACCACATGACCATTGATGGAGACCAGGCTAGGAAGCATCATGTTAGGGCGCAGGGAACGGGAGAGTTGGTTCTCCAGGATGAACCCTGGTGAAAGCT